TTTAAAAACTCAAAATTTTCCCATCTTAGATAGTAAAGTCTTAATGTTTTCTTAGAACTATAGTGCTAGAAAATTGGATTTTGGGCATGAAAAGCTATAATTTATTTCTAGAACTATCTAAGCTAAACTTCATAACAAAGATTATGAAGAAAACATGTTTTAAGAAGTTCTTACAATTTTGATATTGATTATTATGTATGTATGATTGATATTATGAATTATTATCTTGAACAATGTGTATTGAGGAAAAACTAAACTTTAAGATATATGATTTTTATTAAAGACCGAGATAGTATGATCTCCGACAATGTGACTATAATATGTGATTTAATTTTAATATGTTATTACTGTATGATTAGAGCTAAGTTTAGAGGTGTTCGACCTTTGGCGAAATTTTTTGATGATTTAATTATAATTCAATAGAACATTAAACTAAGAAAGTATAAGACAGACTCGATTTTGGAAAAACTTGGGAAAATGTAGGGTGTAGGGTGGTGAATGCTTTCTTTTAGATTGCGCACAAATTGTTGAGTATGAAAGTATCATAGGTCTCACACTTATTTTCTGACCTATATTTTTTATCATACTTTTGTTAAAAGGGGCAGGGTCGGCACACGTTGTATCTATGTTGTTACAGCTAACCAACAACTATCTATTCTATGAAGACTTTAAGGGATCCTAAGAGCAATGAATGTGTACTCATGATGTCTGAGTTATAATACAATGATCTTGTTATTATAATATGTGTGTTGTAATAGATTGATTGGTGTGATTATAATATAGGTATTGTAATACATCGACGGGTGTGATTATAATGCATGTATTTTAATGCATTAATTAATATGATTAGAACTCATGTATTATGACATATTGATTGATGTAAGAATGTATGAATGGTATGGTCTTAGTGTATGTTTTGAAATATTAATGATGTACATGTTATGATGTTTGATCTGCTGTAAGTTCATTAATATAATATGCAAACTAGTATTATTTTGATGTATTGTATTTAATAATGTTTCTGTATTACTATTTTATTCATAAAACAAAGGATTTAATGGAGTGATGAATACTCACTTTTACAACAATTTTTCAGAAATTGAAATGAAGCATAATCCGTTCTAGGATCATATTCTCAGTGGTGTTACACGGAAAAATCTACTTTGTTAGGATATAAGTTGTATCAAGCTTGTAAAAATTTTAATTAAGCCTTAGTTAGAAATTTATTTTTATATGCAACGAATTTGATGTCAAATTTAGACACTTAAAAGGTTTGATAAAGTTTACTCTAAATAATTATTAGAATTATATTTGTAATATTTAGTAGTTAATTCCCACAAGCTTATTTTTAATGTTAAATTTAAGTTACAAAAATACATTTCTATGTTATGAATGAGATTTATTTGTAAAGTATTAAGATTTTGATAACTTCTATTTTTTTAAGTTTTAAATCAACATGAACATTTCCTGATTCACCTAAATGTTACATATTTTAATTAAGTTTTATCAAAATTTATGAATAAAAAAGAATAGGGATGTTAGAGCTTTCAATGTAAATTTAATTATTAAGGTACAATTTATCATTTGTCATTTCTAATGTTTTTTAAAGTTTCCTGAAAGAATATATTTACAAGAAAGTTTTAATTTCATCACATTGTCATACTACTTGTTTTTAGAAAAATTCATTTTATTTCTTTTATTTGGTCATAATTTTATTTCATCACATTGTCATAATTTGGTCATAATTTTAGGGTTAAAAAGAAAATTAGTGTTTCAAGTTTACAAGGAAAGAAAGTATATTTGGTTAAGAAAAAAGTAGGGTTTGCAGAAAAAACACATAAAGAATAAATAAAGAGGATCAATAATAAAAAAGAACATTAAAAAGAATAATAGTTCTTACCAAAAGATAAAGAGAAGTTGATTCTATTCTTTTGTTGACTTCTTTGTGATGACCTAGAATTCTTGACTGGATTTCTTCTTCATCCCTCTAGATATTTTATTTCTAATTGACCTATAAGAATGTGCTTTAACAATCTCATAGCTTCGGTTTTCTTTGATTTCCTTCTCTTCCTGTCTCTCTCTTTGTTTCCTAGATCCTCTCTCTTGAATTCTCTCTCATTTCGCACTTTCCAGAAGAGTTTAGTTCTCTCTTTTTGTTCCATTGTATTCAAAAAGTGTCCGTCTTTTTTTCTCTCTCTCTCCCTCCTATTTTTCTTCTTTGTTTCTACCGTGCTTTCAGAAACAAGTATCCCAATGACCTAAGCTTCCTCTTTATAGACACTTTCTTAAACACTAAATCTCATTTATAATATATATATTTTTTAATTTAGATAAAAGACTCTAACTTCCCGTAACTCCTTATTTCTTGACGACCGACCATCAGTTTCTTCTCAATCGTCTCATCCACTTTTCCTAAAAATCTACCCTCCGATCGTTCTTTTCTCCACTAACAAAAATATCTACCTATTTAAAATTTTAAATCCTGAGATCTAAAATTTAAAATCTTAGATGCCATTAATAGATAGTAATGGAATGCTGACATGACACATTAAGTAACATGTATCATTGCTTACATGTTAAAACGACGCTGACATGTCATGTTAAGTGACACGTGTTATTGATTACGAGGCAAAAACGATGTCGTATCTGGTATAGTATATGTTTTTCGTTTCATTTTATGCCTTGAGATTATAACTCATTGGACATTTTAATCACTGAGATTGTCACTGACGGGCATTTTAGTCCCTAAGATTATCATCGGTGGGCATTTTATTTTCTGAAATTGTCACTGACAAATATTTTAGTCCTTGAGATTATAACTCATTGCTTTCTGGGTTTGTTTTGCTTTTATTTTCATATCTTTCCTTCACATCCTCTTTAACTTCTTCTTGTGTAAATGTAATTATACACTCTTCTTCTTCGTAGTTTTCCTTCATATATATGCATGCATTCATATCCAGTATTTGGGCTTCAATTGAGCACAAAATCTTGAATTGTAAGTGATGAAACTGTTATTAGTGTGAGGGCAATCTATTACATGGGTGTGACTTGAAGATGATGTGTTGGGTTCTGAACAGCAACGATTGGTTTTGTTGATGCTGCACTTTACAATGGGTTAGGACAACGATAAAGGTTTCAACATGACTTTTCTATCATTTGATGAGTGCGAGAACTCCAATCCATCTTCCCTTCCTTCCCCTTCTTACAAAGTCATCAACCATCTTGCAAATGCAGCTCCACATGAACCTTTTCTATCATCTCCTCCACCAGATCCTTTTTCAATAGAACCTCCACCACCTTTCTTCTCTTTCTCTCTCAGGACTAAAATGTTTGTCGGTGACAATCTCAAGGACTAAAATGTTTGTCGAGTTATAATTTCAAGGACTAAAATGAAATAAAAACATATATTATACTATATACGATGTTGTTTTTGCCACGTAATGATTAACATGTGTCACTTAATGTGACATGCCAGCATCGTTTTGCCACGTAGACAATGACACGTGTCACTTAACGTGACATGTCAGTATTATGTTATTGTTTACTAACGGCGTCTAGATTTAGAGACTTAAATGCACGACATAAATGCAAGTTAAGGACTAACGTGAAATTTTAAATTTTGTAGGGACTAAAATTCAAGACACAAACTCTCTCAAAGACCAAAATAAAAGTTTAATCCTAAAATAAAATTTATGTTACTCACAACCTTTTAAATTTTTTTAGTTTGGTTAATTTTTTAATAAATTATAAAATTTTTAAAAATATATTTTATCATGAATATTGTTGTGTGTCACACTTATTTTATTTATTTACCTTAAAATAGTCACAATGTAGTTCGCCCAACATAACTAGACACGTTACATGATCAGTTATCATGAAATAATAATAGAACTTATTTTCAAAAAAGTTTAAAATTAGGTGTTTTAGTATTTATTGTAAAAAATTATATATGGTAAATTATAAAAAAAAAAAAAAGACTCAATGCATTGACAGTCACAAAACAAGATTAAATACAATACTTTTTAATAAAATTTTATAATTTATTAAATTCTTATCACATACCCTTAAACCAATGTTTTAAAAGTTAGACCACTCAATGAACTAATATAAATACTACTTCACTGTCCAATGGTTGAACTATGATTGAATTGGTGATAATTAATTTTTTATCATTATATACTACATTAACATAAAATATTAAAAAATTAAGATAAATTAAATTTTATATTTTTTACATAAAAAATAATAGTCAAAAGATAACTAATAAAAATTGTGTCTTTATAATTTGTCATTAAATTTTTATTTTAAAACAATATTAAAAATTAGAAAAACATATATTTTGAAAAAATAAAAAATGACCAATTTAAAGTAATTTTAACATCGATTTTTGACCCATTTTCACCAGTTCTAAAATTAAATGATTTTTTTTAGTTAAACAAACCAAATAGTTGACCAATTCTCAATTCAACCGGTGGAACCGACTTATTCGATTTTCAAACACTGCCTTGAACACATTAAAAAAAAAACAATTCAAAATTTATAAATCTAAAAAAAAATTAAAAAAGATAATTATTATTGTTAATTTTATATTAACAGACAGTGAGCAGTAATTTAATTAAAAAAGAAATTAATATTTGTTAATTTTAAAATAAAAAAATTATAATAATTATTTAAAAAAAAATATAAAATAACTTCTCAAATTTACAAATATCGTAAAAATCACTTTAAATAAATTCATTCTTTTCAACGCACTATTATTAGTTAAAACTTGGGTAAAGTTTAGTAAACTAAAATTCAGCAATACTCACTTCATTGAACAGGTCTTGTGCAAATTATTTTTATCCATTAAAATATATCTTGCCTAGTGACTATGTTCTAAAAAAGGAATTTTTTTTAATTTGTATTGAGGAGTTGAAAGCTGAAATGCATGATTGACATGTTAGTGGAATAACAGTTCCCCAAAACATTTTGTAGCCTTTGACTTACCCTTTTGACAGAAATCAAATAACACGTAGAGTTTTCTGGGATACTCATCCTGTCCCGTTGTCTAAAAGCTAGCAAACTAGTAGCAGTTACTAATAAAACTATGATGCTTCTGGTGCCACCAAGGGCCAGGTAAATGAATCTTCCCTCCAATCTCTATAATTTTATACAAAGAAATCGCACTCTTATGCTTCTTTATTGGCTTTTTCACTTGACTCTTAATGAAATTAGGCTACTATTATTCTCTATCATCTTCCCTCCACTAGCACTAGGATTCTTTCTCCCCTCCTATCATCTTATTTCAAATAAATAAAGGATATCCCTTTGTGCTCAATTCTGTATTATTGGGAAGAGAATCCAACTGGGTAATCTTTACTTTGCTCAATTAAGCAGCTTTTGGGAATCTTTGCAGTTGCACCCCTCAACATCTAAATTTGAGCATAGTATTTGACATCACTCTTTGGGCAATTGTTTAGTCTCACATTATTCCTTGATCAGGACTACTCAAAATGAAATTTTTGCCAGTTTTTATTCGAGGTATATGCTTCTTTGCATATATTCCATTTTAGGTCTGTGCATGTTTGGCATAATATATGATACATAGGGAGGTTTTTATGTTCTACTCATTTTCATTTCATAGTTAATGTTAATTTCAAATGGATGTGGCAGATATGCTTTTCTGTTGAGAGATTGCAGCTAACATTCACTCGGGTACAGATGGATGATGGAAATGCTGAGCTTTCTGATAAGCTTTCAGATAATGTTTTACTTTTGAATCCAGAGCCATCTAGCAGTTTTCAGGCTTCAAAATCTGTGAATACAGTTACTGAATTGGGTAGGAGTACCAGAACATGCACGCACACTCACACATGCAACCCACCTGGCCCTGATGCTGCTCATATTCACACATGCTGTCACACACACACCCAAGTTTTTTCACCTGAAGATGATGAAAGGGATCACATTAACTCCAAGCCAAAAGGGCCTTCTGGCAACCGAGAAGCTGTTAGGAAGTATAGGGAGAAGAAGAAGGCACACACAGCTTACTTGGAGGAGGAAGTTAAGAAATTGCGTCTGGTGAATCAGCAACTAGTGAGAAAGCTACAAGGGCATGCACTGCTTGAAGCAGAGTTGTCAAAGTTGAGGAGCATTTTGGCACACCTTAAGGAAAAAATTGACACTGAAGTGGGTGCCTTCCCCTTTCGAAAGCACTCTGACTCTTCTTACATTTTCAAAGAAGGGGATACTGGTTTGTTGTCCTCTGCATGGACAATTGGTCATCAGTGTAAGAACAATTCGCCATGCTTCCATCCACATGCAGGATCATTATCATCCCAGCTTAACATTTGTGCATATGAAAAATCTATGATTCCATGGGAAGGACACTGCCAAGCTGAAATTTTAGATTGTCATGTTGATGCAAACAACATGACAAGTACTGAAGGACAAACTGTGGAAACAGTCGATAACTTCATGCCATCTGCATCTCAAGATGGATAGTTTCTCAAGACAACTATTATTCTGCTGAGTTTGTTCCAAATGCTATCATGGATGCTTTGTCTGTTTGGTAGTGAGGTAAGAGTATGTACATCTAAGTTGTGTTAGCATAAAAGGTAAGTTAGACAACTCACTACTTGACTCATGAAGTTTGATTTCTGTAATAGGATATGTATACACAGGCAGAGTGTTTTTGAAATTTGTACAATATGCTAGCATGTAAACAGTGGTCTACTTTTAGATAAATATAATTCCTTGTGTATCATGTCTGTCATGATAAAGACACTACTACTTTTTACCTGCTAGATGCAGTAGTAATGTTCGCTCTAGAAGCATCTCATCTACAGCAATATAAAGTCTCTAGTTCATCTACACCTGCCATTTGTGTTACTTATCCCATGCCACACACTTCAAAACTATTTTTCCTTAATTAACAAATTGAGCTTGTTTCCTATATTTGATGATGAAGAATGGTTGATGTGAAAGGGATGTATGCTTAACTACACCTGCAGAAGTAGCTATTTCTTAACCTCCTCTTGCTGATTCTGATTATAAACCTCAGCTATCTACTGGTTGATGCGTCATAACTTTTTCATTTTCATAGGTTTCAATAAGAATTTCTTTGACGCATGATAACTGTTGATATATTTTTATTTTTATGATGTACAATTAAAGATAAATTTCTTGATATGCCTCCATCTCGTTACGTGTTCTTGTATAACCATATAAATTGCCTCTAGAATAAACCTGTGCGGTTAGATACATTTATGCACTTCTTTAAGAATAAATGATAATATAAGCGGATTTTATAAATTTCAGGCTATTTGTTTCAAAGTTATTTATTACCCTTTGTAGTGTGTGTCATAACTCATCAGAAATGTTTCTTTAGTTAGATCGAGTCATAAATAATGAATGAAAACGCCAGGGCATGAGTTCTTTTCCAAAAAGGTTAAGTCATAGAAATGTTCTACTTGGATAGGTGCAATTATGCAAAGAGCTTTGTGCCTACTTTAATGTGCATTAAGTTATAATTTTAGCCTAGTGGTGCATAATTGATCCTCCATAAAACAACAGAATAAGGTGTGATCTACCATTGCCACTGTCATTATTGTTTTTCTCTGCAGCATTTGGTAATCATATTTGCTTGTTAGAAGTCAGGAGAAAGAAAATTTTGCTGGGTCTTGATAAACTCTTTCCTCCTTAGTCTTAACTCTGCCTCTTTTGAAGCACCAAATAAAATCTGTTATTTTGCCTGTTTTTCTGTTTAAGTAGTGTTTCATTCTCTATTAGTATTTCTCTCATCTGATGCTATTTATATTTTTTTATTATTTCCAATTAGTTGGACATTTGAAATCTTTCTGCTGTGTGTCCACTAGATTTTCTGTCTTTCTTTTTATCTGTGTAAAATGTAAAACTGCCAATTGCTAACTCTAGTGTGCTTGTGTGATTTAAGAGTTGATGATTCTAGTACCTCATTTCACATTCCTCATGTTGGAACCTAGAAGATAACGAACTTAGCAATAGATTCCGGATTACTTTCATGAAGAGAGAATTCATCAATGAACTGCAAAGTTTCAGCCATAACAGATAACCATGCACTTCGAAAAAACTTCTCAATTAGTATTTATAAACAAAAAATATCAAGAGATAAAATGAATACAAAAATCATTTAAAAGTTAAAATCAAGTTATACCATCAATTGTTAACAATGTTAAATAAGAGAATTTTAAAGCAGGTGAAGAGGATAAATTGATTTTAACTTATAAATAAAATTTAATTTATTTTACTTATCCACTAAAAACCATCTTTTATTTTTTTTTCTTTTAAAATCCTTATTGATAAGCTTGAATAAATTTGCTAATTCTTTTAATTTATATATGCTAATATGGATTTAGCAAGCAACCATAAACTTATCATTTTGTAAAGGTAAATTATAATATGTTTCTTTCTTTTGTAATAAGTGTGTTGATTTGAAAGTATTATTTTTGCATAAGCGATTCATAATTGAAACTAAGCCATTGATTAGAGCAGTTTAAAAATAGATGGCTAAGATTAAAGGTTGAAATGTTAACAAATGTGAAGAGGAGTTATGAGTAAGGCACATGAAGAAGGGTAATAAAGTAAAACTAACATTTTGTGTTCTGAAAGAGCATTTCTATGCAACTCTACCATTTTCATCTTTTTTCCTTTCTCTCAACCTTCTCCATTTTTAGTTTTTTTTTTTTTTAATCAAAACTTTAAAATTTGTTAGACAAAATTAATTACGGTTTGATAATGATATAGATTAAAAAAAAACTCTGAAATTAGATAAAATTTCACCTGAAAATGAGTTTTTCTAATTATCTTTATCCCTTTCATTGGATATTTTTTTATCTTCCTTGTTTTATTCTAGACAATGATTTTGTTCAATTGGTTTATTTATTTTGTAATTTGCTTACAAAAACCTTTATTTTTTGGAGAAAAAGAAAGTTGTTGTTGCTAATGCCAAAATTGAAACTCAGCGTATGATCTTTCCTCTCTCCTTCGTGGCTTCCTCCAATATTTCATCTGAATCCCATGTATGGCCCTATCAATTGAAACTGAGTTTCAATCTATATAACAAAAGACACACTGAAATATGACCGAAAAATCTCACTGAAAAGAGAAAGATATTTGACAAAGTCAAGAAAAGGATGAAACGTGGTTGGAAAAAAAGCAAAAATAGAGATAATTCATTCTATGCTTAGTTCCATCAATCCTTACTTTAGTCGGTCTAGGGAGCCTATTTTGATTATTTCACCCGAAGACATAGGAACAAGAAGCCTTAAACATGGGGATGAGAAAGGGACGACAGATGATTTATGATTGTCATGAATTGAGAATGAAGAAGAATATAAAATTACTAATATATCTTTTTTATAAATCTAACTTAAATAACTAGTTTCCTATAATTCATTTTTAAATTAAAATTTTAGTAATATATCTTTTTTATAAATCTAACTTAAATAACTAGTTTACTGTAATTCATTTTTAAATTAAAATCAACGGTTTACAATATTTGATGACTTTTTTAAAAGCTATCTTTACCTTACTTTTTGCAAAAGAAGAAAAAATATTAGAATTGCCCTTTTATAAACGTTTAACTTTTTACTATATTTTTTGTTCAATTGTATGTGTCTGTCACATCAACTTACACTCAAGTCTTAAAGACTCGTTCTAAATGAGCTCCTAGCTTGTTGGTAACATTTTACTTAATTTAGTTAGATACTGAAAAAGAATATCATATTAAAAACAAAAATATTAGCAACATATTTTTCTTTAATATACATTTCAACGCATTTTATATGCTTAATCTATAACTAAAAAAGTTAAGGTATTTATCTTATAAATTGATTACCTTTTTAAAATAATTTTGATTTTGTAAAAATAAGAGTTGCATTGAAGAGTGTGTGTTCTTATCAAACGTTGAATGTTTTATTGTTGTTGTATATGTATTAAGCACTGAAATAGTGGTTAACTAAATTTTTTCATCAGCTAGTTCTCAAATTATATGGGTCGGGTATTTTAAATTTGAAAATTAGTTTAAAGATTTATTTATTCTGTTATTGGAATACTAAGAATGGTCTCTTTCAAAATATTAAATTAAAAAAACTTAGAACATCATATTATTTGTTTATCATATTCGATATTTAATTTGAAAATTGTTTTTGTTCTTTATTTTGATAACTAAATTCCACACCAACTATTCAAATGAATTATCTAGATTTTGTCCTCATCAAATTAAGGCCACTGCGTAGCATAACATTGGTTTTATCATAATTAAACTATTTTCTATTTTTTTTTTTATAAATCAGTTAAGGTAGTAAGATAATATTTGAAATTGTATACATATTTAAGTAGAGACATAAAATAAACTTGTTCAATGTTAATGCAAAAACAAATCCCACAAAGTCAAGTCTAAATGGATTTTGATGATTGAAAAAAAAATTTAATCTTAGATAAATTTAATCTTATATTTAGTGAATTTATTCAAATGTTTCAGCATAATTTATCCTTTGTAAGATGATTTAAAAAGAATAGATAGTAGAAAAAAAAATTGACATGTTCACAAAGAATAAATAAATACCTAACAATTTTAAAAAGCATCTTGTTCGAATATCTATACCATGAATCAAGTAAAGCACAAAAGCAAGCAATTGACAAAAAAAGTATTAAAACTTCAAAATATTGTTTCTAGCAACTACATAATAATTTTTAAGATTATTAACACGAGATTATTTAGGCAAATAAAACCAGTCTAAAGGGTAGTTCAGAAGTAACATAAGAAAAAAAGAGAAGAAACATAAATGAATAAAGTGCAAAGAAAAAATAAACAAAAAACAGTAAGTAATAGTAATGACGTTTAATTATGAATTAGTCTAAAACATTTTACTTCACCAGCTACGTTGTTTACATTTTTTTTTTTTGGTTGAATTCCTTTTTATGATTTAAGATACTATTGGTACTAATAACTTATACTAAATCTTGCTAGGAATTCTATAAACATATTATTTATAATATTTATGAGTTATTTATAATTGTTTATGAACTTACTATAAGTGATCTAATTTTAGTGGATCGTTTAGACTACTAATAGAAAATAATATAAGCTTAATATAGGTTCATTAAGAGATAATGAGAACATTAATAAGTTTAAAATAAAAAAAATGATTATGGTCTCCAATGTATCAAATAAAATAAATTACTCTCCTCCTATTAAAAGAGAAAAGTCAAGTCTCATAGGAGGAATATAATGATTTGGTTAAGAAACATTGTTGCACCAAAGGTTCACATTTTGCTACCTCTATTTTATCAAGTTTTATGTTTTATGGATCCAAGTATTTCTCAAACCCTCTTCTTCTCACTACTAAAAAATTAAAAAATATAAACAGATTTATAGGTAGATTTTTTCACTATTAAGATGAATTTTAGCATTACAGACGGCTACAGTCAGTCTGTAATATGTGCGTTGGTAAATAATTACAGACGAATTTTTAAATTCGTCTGTAATTTTTAAACCCTAAACCCTAAAAAAAATTCATCTGTAATTCATTTATGAAATTTTAAAAAATTTATTTCATTTTTTTATAAACATAATTATTTCTCGCTGTTCCTAATTATTACAATTTATAAACATAATAAAAACTACAAAATTATATATTTAAAATTAAAATTTATTTATAAAATGTAAAATTAAAATTTCATTACAAGGGATGAAGTAAACATCTAGAAAAATAATATAAAAAATAAAATAACATTGTATATCACTAATAATCGGCGTGATCATCTTCCAAAAAAGTATCGCCATCAGTAGAGGAGGAGTCAGAGGAGGAATGACGCATGGAGCTGAAAATTGGTGGTGTTGGAGCTGGTGGAGGAGGAGGAAGAGGTGTAGAGGTGCTTGCTCTCATGAGCTCAAAGTATGCATGCATCTGATGTATCTGCATATGTTGTTGCTGCATCTGTTGCTGCACCTCTATCTGCATCCTCAATGTCACCTTCTTCTCTATCTTCTTCTCCATTTTTTCGCCAACTTCTTCTTCCATGCACTTTCCTTACTCTTCCACATCTCTTCATTTTGCTTCTGCAGTTCTTCATTGAGGGCATGGACCTGAGTGCGGACTATGTCCTCCATTTCCTCAGGTATAAGAGAAGGGGCATCTCCGGTGACAGATGTAGGGGACATAAAGTCTGCAAAGCGACTCCCCATGCCGTAAATGCGACCTTTATAAAGGCTACCCACCGTCTCTGATCATATAGTATCATGGTCAACTGACTTTGGATCTTGAAAAGATGCCTCCTCAAGCCTTTGAACATAGTCATCCTATAATTCAATGCAGATAATTATATATTAGTCTCAAATGCTATATAATAAATCATTAATAATAACATATAATGTCAATAAGGATAACTTACATATGTAGTCTGAGATCGTGTATCAACCCACAAGGTTTTGTCTCCCTTGCGAGTATGTGTTTCCTTGAACACCTCTCCATGTGTAGGAGTTTCCTTACATTTGTTTACACGTACTTAATACAAAAATCTAAATTTTCTTTACACATAATCTATATATTATGTAATAATTTATTAATCAATGCATCAAAAACATACACATTACAATCCTAAACCGTTCTAGAGTACATCTCCTTATAACTCCACAACATGTATATTCTACAAACTCCGCAAACACAAACAATCCAACTGCACACAATAATCAGGTTCGAATAAGGACCTCTACGCCCTTCTCCCCAGTCATACAATCTCCAATCCTACGACTCTATCTTAGAAATTTTAAGTCTCTAAAATACATCAAAAATTAAAAAACTAAACCGATTAAAAGTTAGAGTATCGTACCAGGAACACAATGATGCAAATTATCTTTCAAATAAATGCTTCAATCACTCGCAAAGGCCAAAAAATTGAAGCTCCTTGAGAGAGACAGAGAGAGGCGAGAGAGAGAGATTTATGAAAAATGAAAAAGGGGAAGGGGGAGGCGCAAATTTATGGGTTTCAGACATTACAGACGAAAAAATTTGTCTGTAAATGGTTTATTGAAACGGTGCGTTTTAAAGATCCAGTTACTGATGGATTTTTTTGTCTGTAAATTGCCACATGAAAAGTCGGTTAAAAAAGGCAATATTTACAGACAAAAAAAATCTGTCTGTAACTCTCGCTCCAAATTTTCCTCCCTTTTTCAAATTACAGACGGATTTTTCTGTCTGTATTTTCTGTCTATATTGTTTCGCGTCAAATGGCGGGCAAACTACATACAGATATTACAAACAGAATTTTATTCGTCTGTATTACAGACAGATTTTTCAAAAAATTAAAAAAAAAGAACCACAAATCCGTATGTAATCAACGCTTTTCTAGTAGTGTCTTTCAATAATATAATGTAATCTATATTTGTTTATATTTTTATAAAGATTAAAAGAAATTCCTACAAGTGGTATAAGAATAATATTGTTAGGTTATTGATATTCATGTGTATAATGCCTTTTCTTAAAATTATTATTCACTATAATAATCATTGAATGTGATTTTTGACATATTATAAATCCTTTTTAGTATTATTTTTTGTAATTTTTTAATTAAATTAGTTGATATAATATATTGCCAACATAATCTCTATTGTAGATATTGATTTAACTAAAAATACATGGATGTTAATAAGAAATTATTTATGTGAATTATGTTCGACACAAAGGAAGTGAGAGAACAAAGAGTAATATGATAATTGGTTACCTGCCTTGTAATCTAAGTTTTAAAAACATCAAAGTTACTTAAATATTTTTATTCTCGAGAATTTTTGTTTGAATGACATTCTTTTTTGTCTGAATAAGACCATTCTCGCTTGAGTAAATGAATCAGAGAAAAACTTTCTACTCATTTGCTAATATTTTTGTTTGAGTAAAAACACTTTAGAAAATTTTTCATTTTATCACTCAATCTTGCTTAAGTGAGAGGACTATTCAATTGAGCGAGATGAAAGCTCCTCACTTGAGTGAAACAAATAATTTCTATCTATTCTCGCTTAAACGAAAAATTTACCTTATATTTGTTGTAATATACATATAATTAACATTGTTATATTAAGTTAACAAAGATATTCTATTTAGGATTGACATTGCTCTCATTGTTTTGGTTGATATCTTATTTTATTAGAATCTCCAAGATTATATTTTCTTTTGCTTCATCTTAGTGGTAATTAAAAATTGTGCTTTCTATCGTCTCGAAAGATCCTAATGATAGACTATTTGTTATGATTAAAGTAAAAAAACAGTTAAAAAGTCCTTAGTCTTACCTATATTAAAACCCAGGTCAACTAATGGCCTGACGTAGGCGTTGCATAGCATAGCTTGGCCTCATCCATTTCTACCCTCAGTTGCATCCAACATTTTCTAGTGACACAATATGATGGGCTTATTGATTTTTCAATTTAAAAAAACTAATTATCAAAATAAAACAAAACTAAACTAAACTAATTTGTCTGTTAAACAGTCTTTTTGCCACATCATCGATCATTTCATTTCATATAAAAAATGAAATTTAATTTTTTATTTTTATATAAAAACAATTTTTGATTAAATTTTATGAGAGGAAACAAAATTAAGATATTAAGATGGGTGACAACATCCGTGACAAAAATCCTATTAAATTGTGTCAACAACAACGACAAAACAGTAATTTAAAAAAATAAATTTAAACTGCTAAGATAACACATGCCACAATTTCAATCAATTTTGTGCTGAGAAAGACAGAACATGAGGCTTTTCAGGCACCGTTCCCGATTTGAACAAGCTCACCAACGCGGATGAGGTCTCGCTCTCACAGTATCATGTCAACGCTAAGGTCTTTGATTCTACATGGATTGCTTACACTCTTATTCAGACAAAACTTAATTAAAAGTTAAAAATAGTAATTTCTTTTGTACGCAAAACTTAATTTAAGACGGGAAAATTGTTTAAAAAAAATATTATTTAATGATTTATTTTTAAAAAATATTAAAAAAAATAAAAACCAACATAATGAGAGGATACTATCGTTAAGGCAAACTAAACCTAGACCCACGCGTTTGAAACTTAACTAAAAAACTTGTTTGCTGCCATTAAGCACAAACCAAACCATGACTTATTTGAAGGTCTTATTTAATTTAACAGTAATTTTGATAAGAGTAAGCATCAGAAACCAAGTCACCACACCAACGAAACAAGGCTCACGTTTAATAGCGTTTTCTCCTCAGGTAGATACCACATATTAAAAGTTGGTAAACTTCTTTTCTTTCAAGCTTTCCACAGTCTCCTTGACGCTCTCTTCCAGAGGAATAAATTCAATTCCCAAGCTCTTTGCCTTTTCTTTGGAAACCTGATATGTTGGTATATATGGCTTATCATCCGCACACCTGATAACATTGTTGACATAGTGAAAATGGTATTAGAAAAATTAAAGAGAAAAAAAAAATTGAATTATTTATAATATATAAATGCAAACATAATATTAGACTGAATGATGAGTCACTAGGGCCATATTATGGTGACCATTAACTAATCATATTTGCATACGAAACAACATTTTCAGGACCTACACAAGCTAAGTTACTTGGCCTTGTCTCAAGAACGTATAATTTGGTAATGAATTCCAAATGTAAAGTTCTGAATAAAGTCAGCATAACCATAAAAATATATAACAACATCAACAACTAAGTCTTATCCCACTAAGTTACGTCAGCTACAAGAATTACACAACACCATTGAGATCAATCAAAAACTAAATTTTGAAAAATATGATTAATCAAAAGTCTATTTTAACAACTTCATCTAAAGTTCTTTTGGGTCTCCCTCAAGTCCTTTTTACCAAACTAAAAATCATGCAATTCACTCTTCTCACATATGCCTCCAAAGGTCTTCTTCCATTAGGTGAAGTCGGTCACATAAATCACATGACACTATTGAGTTCAGTCAAAAATCAAATTTTAAAAATTTTGTTTAATAAAAGGTCTTTTTTAATAATTTCATCTAAGTTTCTTTTGGGTCTCTCTCGACCCTTTTTTACCAGACTCAAAATCATGCAATTCACTCTTCTTATTGGCGTGTCCAAAGGTTTTCTTTACACATGATCATACCACCTTAAATGATTTTCACTCATGTTTTCCAATATATATATTACTCTAATATTCTCACTTATTACTATCATTTTTTATCTTGTCTTTTCTCATACGACCATTCATCGACCTTAACATTTTCATTTCTACAAAACATACTAGAGACAAAAATAGTGGGAGGTGCTAGTCATCAAGCCACTAAGGTAACCCCATATGATTGAATGTGTTGAGTTCTTGAAAAAGAATGGCATAACTTTGTTGAAACAATGTGTCTCAATAAATGCCAAGAACTGAATATGTAAGACATACACAAAAGAATCCAAGCTATCATTAAGGAGGCCTAATTAAAATAAAATATATATCAAAAGTGAAATCTGAATAGGTTGTTAGATATCCAATTCCAGCAATTTATTGTGATTGTAAATTAAGACAAATTGGTAGTTACCATTTATTGTCCAATATTAGGAAGGTTATTATGCTGTTTTAATGTATATAATCTAAGGTTCTGTGCGGTTTCAGATCATCAAATAAATATTCAGACATTTAAATTTTTTTCTTTCAACTAATATCAATGCCTCTTTCACTTCCAGCACAAAATTGAATTTTTGAACAGGTTAATAAAACACTAAAACAATAGGGTACAGCAGATGGAGACTTGCATTCATGTATTTATATGAACTATATGCATTCTAGAAATTATCAAAATTAAACTCACTTCTCTGGAAGCTGTAATGTCGGGTACAAATCACGTAAAATCTTCACAATTTCTGAGTAGTGCACCACTCTCTCAACCAAACAATATCTTCCATTAGCTGAAGTATTCTCATATGCTTGAATATGGGCATTTGCAACATCTTTCACATTGATCCATCCAAAAGTTGCATTTGAAAATGTTTGTGCACCTGTATCAAGGTGATGGAAGAGTTTCTTCAATTATCTAAGAATTGTGCAGAGGAAAAACATGTATATTGAAAGCACACAGGAACTCCTGAAATTCATTCACATAACCAACTCAATAACCAAGCAACTAAATAACTCCTTACACAAAAAAAGATGATAGACTATGATTGCTTTAATTATGATATGTCTCATTTTTCTGATATTATTCTTTCCAACACCCCCCTCCCCCCTCAAGCTGGGTATTAGACATTGTCAGTCATTCCCAGCTCGCTGATATTTGAATCAAAGTATGACTTCAACAAAGCCTTTGTAAGAACCTACGCTTCCTGCAACTTAGGACATGGTCACATGGTGTAAAGCAAAAGTTCCATTTTCAATCTTTGATCTAAAAAATTTGTCAATCACATGCTTCAGCATGTCACATTGAACTGGGCTACGGATAATGCAGTGTTATTAAACTCAGCCAGGTTAATGACTTGGTCAAGGTTAGATCACTAGTTCAACCAGTAACAATAATATATATATATATATATATATATATATATATATAAAGTAGCCATTATTTTACTATTAACCAGTAGTGGCTTAGTGGTCTACGATGGGACATTTTTGCATTTAGACATGTTTGATTCTCATTAACAGTTTTGGCAAGTAGAAGTGGTAATGTGTGGGGAGAAAATTTCGAAAACCTGGGTTCAAACCTCTCTTCTACAAAATTGGAAATTTTTGAATTTATTATAAGACATCAGAACAATCCGAGCTGGGTCACTGGTTTCAAGCTGGTTCGTTCTGGTTCAAACCAGTTTGCACCAGTTTTCATGCAGAAACAGTCAGTTCTGCAGACTGAACCAGTCATGGGTCCAGTTCCCTGTCTAACTAGTCCAACCGGCCAGCCCAGTCTGGGTTTAATAACACTGAGATAATGCTGATGGCAGACTTGTTGTCGGTGCCTCACAGGTTCTTGCTGCAGAATAAACAAATCCTGTAGTGACCTATTTATCCAAATAAATTCACAAATTCCATGAGCACTCGCTCTATATTTTTACTCTACATTACTTCTTGAGACAACAATCACATTTCCCTAAACTTTTGTTCATTACCCTGAAGTGTACTGGTCTTCAACTAATCCCACCCAATCAGCATCTGCAAATCACTCAACACACTTGTGTTCAATCTTTCTTACTAGTAATCTCTACCAGGATTACTTTTGACTTTAGACAATAATCAAGCTAGAAAAAGGGAATACACTACACATAATGTAGCTCAACAATAACTGATATGATTGAAAAGTGCATAAAACTTATAAAAAATGTACATTCAGATTGTACTTAATATAACCCATCATTTCCATATTTTCAATTTGCCCTTTCATTTTGTTTGATCCAGAAAAAGTAGCTGAGTTGAAAATCATCACGCTGTCCAGATGCAGACAAAGCTTCATAGAAATTTTTTGCAACATAACATATAAATAGTAATTACCATTAACTAGGTTTAAAATTGAAGCAGCACTTGTGTTAAGGACCGGTTGCAAGAGAGGCCCTATCACCATTGCTGGGTTAATAGTTACCATGTCAATGTTGTTTTCTTTTACGAATTTCCAGGCAGCATCCTCAGCCAAAGTCTTTGAAAGCGCATACCACAGCTGAAGTATATATAGGAAATGCCAAGAAAGTTGAAAAACATGGTAACATAATATCCATGACAAATAATTACACTTTGCTGACATTGGAATAAATACATATGCACTATAGCTCAGTAGGAATTGATACTACCATGCAGTTCCCAAATATAATAGCCAAAATGAAAGAAGCACTTGAAAAAGTTTAGTGGACCATTTATACATCAGAATTACAGGTGCACCATATCAAATTTTCCACAACTTGAAAGGCCAAACATTGATTATACTGTGATGTTAAGTATTACTGTAGATGATCCTATTTTTTAAGGAAAAAGAAAGAAAGGTAATTTTATTTTTCTTACTTTTAACTTAAGAAATTATATATCATTAATAATTTATAATACTAAAAATATATTATTAATATATTAAATTTATATCAATTTATTATTTTATATCTTTTACTTTAAAAAATCAATAAATTAAATATATTTGTTTAAAATTAATATTTTTGCCTCTTCCTTTTCCTTTTCTATGTACAACCCCTAAAATAAAACTTTGTGAGAGAAAATAGCACATGCCTGGGATTGCCTAAGGAAATCTGGATCGGAAAACCAAGTCTCGTCAACTACTACATCGGGAGTTCGAGGCCTAGAGTTATATGCAACAGCGGCAATAGAAGAGGTTAAAACGACGCGTTTCAGAGACGGCAAGTTCACGCACGATTTCAGGACATTGAGAGTTCCCTTTACAGCAGGATCTAACAATTCAGCCTGAAATTATAAAAAAAAAAAAAAAAAAACACAGTCTACCCACTGTTATGCCATTAAATAAAAACAAGAGAGTGGCATTATAAATGAAAGGTGGAGGGAGTGAACCTGGGGGTCCTTGACATCATGGTAAAAGGGAGAAGCAGTGTGAAACACAGCATGACAACCTTGAACGACAGAGTCAAAGGATCCTTCTTCGAGGAGATTTGCCTTGAACAGGTGCAGTCTCTCTTTAGCACCGTCAAGGGCAACCAAGTGGTTTATCTTTCTGGAATCGCCTGCACCACCACACCTTCAATCTTTGAAATTTGAAAACACAACATGATCTAATAATGAACAGAGAAGGGTTATAGCATTGAGAACAGCAACGTAACGATCAATGAAATTAAAGAAACAAAAGATCACAAACTTGGGTCGCGAACAGTGGCCCTGACAGTGTAACCGCGATGGAGAAGAAATTTGACGATCCACGAAGCGATGTAACCGGAAGCACCGGTCACACACACTACCTTTCCAGCGCCGCTGCTCATTGTTTATCACAGCTTCTTGTTCTTTCTTCACTCTTCTGCTCTGCTTACTCAAATGCCTGGGGCTGTGAGCCAGTGTTGCCAACACATGTGCCTTTCGTTTTCTGTCTTTATATAATAAAGAACGTTCATCCTTTAAGCAATGTTTTTGAAATACTAAGAAGCATTTATCTTTAAAAAAAATTAACATTATAATTTTTAATACCTTCTTTGAAATATGATTTTATATATTAAATTTATTAAAAATGTAAAAATTAAATTTTTTGAAACGGCAATAGATAGAGTTCATATATATTTTACTTTATTTTGGTTTTTAAATTTTTTTAATTAATTTACTATTTTATCTCATTTTTCAGATTAATCTGGATTTGTTTGTAAATTGTAGTGATGATTTAACAGTAGTGACAATTTTTTGACTGTTATAATAATAAATAAACAAATCAAAATAGAAAAATACTGATTTTATTTAATGTATAGTGTTATTTAATAAAATTAATATTAAGATTGAATATATTTTTAGGTATTCATAAATTTAGCCTTTAGTTAATTTTGATTTACTGAAAAAATTTGATTTTTATGCATATAATTTATATAAATATTTTCAAAAGATTATTAATGTAATATGATAAAAAAAGTATAGCACATACATCAAAATAAGAATTTCAATAAATTGTACACGTTAAAATTTAAAATATATATTATAAAAATAAAACTAAATAAATAAAAAATAAAAATATTTTTTTAATTAAATAACAGTGTTTGTTTTGGCAAAAGCGCGAGGGACTGAAGTAGAAGCGACGAAAGTAGGTAGAAAAAACAAGACATGTTTTGTTGGGAAAGCCGGAGAATGTTAAAATATTATGAGGCTCGTCATAGTTCGTTGCCTATTTTGGTAGCAGAAGAACTGGATGATTGATGGGACATCATCAAGATTTTTCAGATGAAGTTTTAAAAATTATTGATAAAGAAAATAATTTTATTTTTCTTTATTCGGTATAAGAAATACAAAATATTTATTAATTTATTTCATTATTGAATTTGTTAAAGCCTTGTCGACGCGTCGCAATTTCCACCATTCCCTCGAGTTGTCGCACTGCTTTCATGATTACGGATATTAGGCTATTTTACATAATTATAACCCCTCTTAAAATTTATTCAACTAATATAACTTTTTGAAAATTTTATGAAAATAATGTAACTCGTATATATATATATATATATATATATATATATATATATATATATATATGGAATTGGACTTTTATTATTTTTTATTTCGTTTATTTTTCATTGTTTTTTAACTATCACTTTCAGACAGTTTTAAATTGCTATAATACCTATAACCAATACAAACAAATGAATTATTAAAAAAAGTAAAATTTAATTAAGTGTTTGATTTTTTTTTAAGTAGGGATTGAAGAAGTTATCCATGCAACTACCTTTGTTCCCAGATAATCTCAAACGCTAACTTATTTATGCAACTGTTAGGACAGTCCAGATTCATGCTACTCTTGCCAGATCCGGGTCCTTGCAATAAACAAAATGGGATTCGCTTAAGCGAAAAAAGGGAATCCGTATCCCCCATCTTTGTGCTTCTTGAGCAGTTATTAACTGCGGAGTAGAAAGGCATTGCAGAACTCAACTCTCACAACGCATGTAGAAGCGAGGAAGTGATAGTTGTTTAAGCATGTGGAGGATGAATGCGGAGAGAGTGTGTCAAATTTTGTTTTCTGAGATTTTATAGAGAATGTGTTTGCTCTCCGATGGTGGCAAGTTGGTGACGGAAATTGGAATTCGGTGGAAGCTGCTTCTGTTCCTTGCAAATGCTATGGTAGAATCCCATTCTGCTGCTGTGCCATAAGAGAACAGAGTTTTAAAATCAAAACGATTATGTGAATGCTTAGCAATGAAGAGAGAGTGTTCACAAAACCTTTCCCACTTTCACAAGGACTCTGGTCGTACAAGAGGATGTGGGGTTTAAAAGTATAAAGTGAAAGACAGAGAGGCGGAAAGGGGTTAAAGGAAAAACCGATTTGGATTTAGTGGAGTAACTACTTGGCCCTTATGTTATTTTATATTTTTACTTAAGTTAATATATATTTTTTTAAACAAAAATATAAAATTTTGCTTAAATACACAGTGCAGTTTCTTGTGGACTGCACTAAATCTGGATCCGGAAAAGAAAGGATCTGCATAAAATTTTACTTAAATGCACAGTGTAGAGAAAATATATAAAACATGAATGCAGTATATTTAAACAAAAAATCCGTTTGAACAAATTTTGTTAAGTAGAATTCGCTTAAGTCAATCTCATTTTGCTTAAGGAAATTTTTGTTGGAATTTTTTTCTAAAATATTATAAAACAAAAAACATATTTGTACCCTTTATAAATATATTTACATATATAAATCTATTCACTGTTGCATTCAGAATTTGGTCCTCGAGAGTCGAGAGCATTCTGACATGCAACAGCTTCCTCTCTTTTTTGTTCATATATTAATATATAATTTTAAAAATTTAAAATAAAAAATAAATAACAATAATAATTATATTTTTAAAAATTACTTAAAATAATTAAATAATAAGTATATTATTTCAGATAATTTTTAAAAAATAATTAAAATATTTAAATAATAAGTAAATTATTGTTATTTATTTATATTATTATATTTATTTATTTATTTAAATATGTGATTTTGAGTTAATATTTTTAAATATTAATATAATAAAATGAAATTTTGAATAGAAATTTTATTTTAATTAAATTATTTTTTTAAACATTACATTATTTAATATTATAATTTTTAATACCCTAAATCATAAATCATAAATCTTTAATATTTAATACCTTAAATTTTTAATATTATAATTTTTAATAAAATTTATTTTAGAATAAAAAATTTATTTTTAAAAAGTAAATAAAATATTAAATTATAAGTTAATTATTTATATTTGAGATATTTTTTTAAATTAATGTTTTAATATTACTAAGTAACATTGATGAAGACAAAGTGTATTAATAAATATGATAACAAATTCATAAAAACATTAATAATTAACTATCTCCATAATGGTGGCTAGTTCCACAATAAGGACGACGTCTGTGACGTGGTGAGTTTTGTCATTGTGGTTGTTACTCTGAGATTTCAAGATGAACTTGTCGAGAATTTAAACATCATGAAGGTCTAGTTCTTAGAATGTAGTTGATGAATTATTAAGTTCATTAGCAAAATCCAGTTACTAAAGAGATTGCATGTAAGTTTGTGCTAAAGATAGAGTTGTAAAATTAATTCCAAATAAATTTGTAAAAAAATCCTCTGATATTGTTGCAAACGAATATCTTATGTTAGTTATGTTTTCTTCTAGCGTGATGTTTAGAGGAATTGATGCAGTCTCATGATATGACGATGTGGAAGTCGTATCAATTTCAAATGTGTTGGTAGTCTTTAATTGTTGGTGGCTCCTCCTTGAATCTTATAATAGTGGTGGCACAGATAAGAAATAGATGGAATTGACAATATACCATTCCATGTATTTTTGTGTCTGACACAATGGGCCTTGCATTGTGTCACATCCCAAAATTTCTTTACTTCTAAGTTAATTACTAGTTGTATCAATATAAATCAATTATAATTAGATCATATATATATAGTTAGGAATTAAAACACAATTAGTCAAATTTATTCGAAAAACAGACGAATTAAAGAAAAATCGGGTAACGAATTATAGTGTAATCTAATTTTTATAAGAATAATTACCTAAAAATTTTGTTTTTATAAATTTATACCATCTTAATTATGTATTGAAAAATTTATAATCAATTGTGGAGAATAAAAAAATAGAAAATTAAAAATAAGCTACAACATTGGCCAAAAGACCAAAATACCCCTAGATTAGGACTAGAATGGAGACCCAAGTTGGATAAGGAAATGATAATGAAAAATTCTGAAATTTTTATGCCAAATTATTGGGCCAAATGAGGTTGTATTCATTCAAGAACCAAACCCAAACCTCAAATAAAAAATTTAAACCAATTTTTGCAAATTCAGCACTCAAAGTGGTGTAAAAAGGGCTAGGCAAATGGACCAAAACTTTCAATTTTGTAATCTTATCTTACCCAACCCAATTGGCACGGTTTTGGCACGAAAAATAGACTAAATTTGTCAATAATTGGGTAAAGTATCAGCTGTAGTGAAGGAAGCCAATAAGAAAAAAGACTTGGTTTACTAAAAATCCTTGATGATGACATAGGGTCAATGGTTCAATCCCTAACCAAGGAGCCTAACCAAATGCCAACCAAACCCAACCAAACTCAGCCAAAAAACAGTGTTATGTGAGGGGAGAAATCTAAAGTTATAAACCAGGAACTAAAGGTAAACTAACAAGGAAAACTTAGGTCAACTAGATGACATCACAAGGGTCCAAAATATCCACTTTGAGCATGATTATTAGGGACCACTTTTCACCATGATAAAATCCGAATTTGGTGAAGGCTACAAAAGCAAAGTTACTCCACTTTAACCCCTTTAAATGGTCATGAACTTCCTGTCCCAATAAAAACCACGAAAAAAAAACTAAAAAGCATTCCCTAAATACAAGGCCTAAATTCATGGGTAAATGGAGCAAATTTGAAGATCTAGCCAAAATTCCTAAATCCAGCCAAACCAAACTCTTCTACACACCTAATCACATCCAACACATGCCAAAAATAAACCCCACCACTCAGCCATGTCACTCTCCAAGCCAACAAAATAGGAAACACTCCAAAAACACCAAATAACCCCACCACCAAATTTAGCAAAAGAACTTCAACATTTGAGGACCTTTTTGGACAAACTCAAAGCTGACTTGGAAGGGCAGTAAAGAGGCTCAAACCAGACTAAGAAAAAGAAGAGAAAGAGGAGATCAAAACACCCTTGCAACCACACCTAAAAAGGCAAAGACAAAATCAAGTAAGGGAGGGGAGTATAGTTCATAAATTGGGGGAATAGTATTGCTAATTAATTTTGAGTCAAGGGGAACCCTTGACCCTTTATATTGAATGAAAATTTCGTGGGTCTAATTGATATATGAAAACAAAATTTACTTGC